AATCTTTTAACAACTCACAGTCTCTGTTGACCTAGATCTGTGTTGGCTTCCTTTTGAAGAATTTGCATGTGTGGTGCCAGGTACACCTCCATCTGAAACCACTCCAACACAACTGTTCCGCCTGAGTTATTTTAGACTGTGCTGTGTGTACTCGGCCCCCAAACGTGGGTGAGCACTGGCTCGTAGGCCAAATTCTGAGATTTCCCTTCCTCTACCAAGTGCCAAGACTGATTCGTACAGATGTCCTCACATCCCTGTTTACACAGCGGATGTCGTAGCCTGTTTTCTGTTGGTATAACGGAACACAGCAGACTAGGTAACTTGCAAAGAATAAAGGTTTATGCAGCTCATGGCCTAGGGGCTGCATCTAAAGAGACTCTCCCTACTGGTGGGCCGAATCCCAAGGCAGTGAAAAGATCAGTCATGCCAGCTTGGGTCTCTCATGCTCTTCTTCTCGGGTCAGGAGTGCAATCATCCTGAACGCACTGTCAATCCTAATCACCTCCCAAGGTTCCGCCTCCAAACTCCATAGTCAGATTAGGTTTCAACCTTCTAATTCCCCATGCTGGGGATCAAGTTCCAACCCGAGTTTTGTCACAGCAGTGGGTTTATTCTTTTACACCAGGGGTCTAACTCTTTGCTTTCCCAGCTTTCTGCTGGAATTTCTTCTCAAACTCCCCATCTTGGGAATTTTTACTTCTTAGTGAAATTTGGTGCATTTTACAATTGACAACATTTTAGATTTGATGAAATAATTTAGAACATTAGCATGATCCGTTTCACGGTTACAAACAGACTTGCTGCTTTTATTTTTCCATGGTACAGTATAATTTTCCATGAGCCCAGTTTTTCAAGCAATCTCATCTCTCCTGCTTGAAAGTCCTTTTCTAGGAGTAAAATGAAACTTGCAGCTTGCCTTGCCCAGAGAGGTCTGCCTCCAGGACAGAGCCCAGCAGGGCCCCTACAGGGGTTGCCACACAGGGTCACTGTTAAACAGACTCAGATGCATTTTTCTGAATGCTTTCTACTCTGCTGCTTGGTTTTCTTCCTGGACCAGACTACTGCACGGGCCAAAGTGGTGCCCCACATTCCTGGGTCCATTATATCCTGAGAGGCTCAGCCAGTGCTTCAGGTTTTCAAGGGCCTCCAGCCTTAAACACACACTGGGCCTAAAGTGGCCCAGACTCGGCCCCCTGGACTAGACTCCTCTTCACACTGGGGCTGGGGCTGCATTCTTTCCTAACAGTGGACCTCAGTCAAGGCTACCCCAACTTGTCAGAGAGGTTCCAGGAATACGGACCCTCGGAAGGGTCATAGGAGGTCTCATTCCCCCTCCCTCCGGGGAAGCCATGCAAGGAACAGCTGTCTGGTGAGTAAAGGTCCAGCCCTAGGCTCTGTGTCACGGCACCCTGGCCAGGATACCACTGGCCGCTCACCTTGCGAAAAATACCTGTCATAGAATCTTATGGTGCTATTGCTTGCTGGCCTCCTCTCTTCAAAGGATAACACATGGCCTCCAGCTGGGGAGAGCTGAGAGGGAGAAACTGTCCTTGGGGGGGGTATTAGGTGGGCTTTAACTGTCTATATGCTAAGGGGAAGTGCTAGAATATTAGGATGAGTGGGACTATTCATTGTTGAGACAGGGTCCCACTGTGTAACCCAGGCTGGCCTGGAGTTCACAATCCTCCTGACTCAGCCTCCCAGAGTGTTAGGATTACAGGGATGCACCACCACACTGGCAGAGTGGGACCATTTATAAGCAATACTGATACATTTAGAGCAGAGGAAAGACTCACTGTGGTTGGAGACATCCATCTTCTGGGAAATGGATTGAGTTTTGTCTCTATTTGGATGTAAACCTCTCCTGCCACTCTCCATAAAAACACTGAAAAGGTCCACGTTACTCTCCAGAATTGTCACTGTGGGGTGTGCAGTTTTGAGGTGAACTGAGCTAGCATCCAAGGGGCACGAGATACAAGTAGGCCGCTCTGTGCAATGCAGATCAGAACAGAGGCTGGCCCAAAGTCACCCAGCAAGTCAGACCCCCCAGTGTCCCCCTCCTTAAACCGAGCCCAAACAGCCCACGGCCGTGGAGACTTGCTCTCAGGACAGGTACTCTCGCACAGTGAGCTCCTTGAGGGAGAAGCCCCGGTGGCTGGGCCTGCGGAGCTGGCTCTCCTCCAGCCTGCCCTGCAGGGACGCGAAGTCCTTGCCTAGCGAATAGCCCAGGCGCACCATAGCCTCCAGCAGCGGGACGTAGTAGCGGTGGCTCTCCCTGGCCTGCAGGCATCGCAGGGCCCTCTCGCCGGCCGCGAAG